AACTCTACAGAAGTAAAAATTGGTACTCTGAACAAACAGGATAGAAAGAGTATTGACACTTTTGAACTTTGGGGTTAGAGAAGACTCTTGAGAATATCATGCACAACCCAGTAAACTAACAAATAGACCACAGAACAAATCAATCCAGAGTTCTCACTTGAAACACAAATGATCAGTTTCAAATTATCATATTTTAGACACATGATGCAAAGATCCAGCTCCCTTAAGAAGTCCATAATGCTGAGAAAGATGGAAGGAAAGAGAAAAAGATGACAATCAGTAGCAAGGTGAATGGACTCAATTAGAGCAGCAATGGTGCACTGTTGGAAGACCTAAAGGATCAGGCTGGGGACAGATCACCCTGGAGAGGGTCTATCTATATGGACACTAGAAGCCATCACTGACTTTATGGTACTCACTCACTCACTCACTCACTCACTCACTCACTCACTCACTCACTCACTCACAGCAGCCTATTGTTTACTGATATCCAGTCTGACATTTACAAATAGTGCTAAGAAAGACTGACAGGAATTCACAATGACACTTTTTTCAGACCAGAATCTCATAAGGCTACTTCAATACACTTTTGGATATCACCCAAAAACAGAGCAACTCTTGTTCATAACCAGATCAACAGTTTTCTAATTTGAGAAGATCAAAGGTAGATAACTGGTGATTAAATTATCACTTCAAGGGGTTATTCTTTTAATTCCAGGCAATGCATAGAGGTATTTTTTTCTTATATTATTTTTAAATTTCCCTCTGAAAAACTAGCAAAGTCATGACAGATGATGAATACATAAAAAAAAATCAAATGCACTTTTAATTCCCTATGAGAGGGGTCCTTTGAAAGAGTACAGGTAAACCATGCTTCAATATAATATGCAATAAAAAGGAAGCAAGACCTCAGTATAGAAGAGTCAATAGCACCAAAAATGTTGTAATCATTTAAGCCAATGGTAATCTAACTTAGAAGTATCATATTCCTTAAGGAAACAGAGAAACTACTGTTCGTTTTTTTTTTAAGTTTACCTATTTTTCTTTATATAATAACCCAACACGTCAAATAGAGGTTCCTGCTAAAGTTAATTTTATATTGTACTGGTTTATATTGGAAGCACTAAAAATATTGTTCTCCTTCAATTATAAATGTTTTCATTCAAAACTCTCTCTCTTATATCTGCCACCCTACTTTGCATAGCACCTAGAGCATCTCTGAATATAATAGCTGAAAATAGGAATTTACAGAAACTGGAATACATCTTCTATAGAAAGGGCAAACAGATCTGGGCTCCAAAAATCTGGAAGACCAATAGGTGACAACAAAGATTTAGAGTTTACTCTTTGTTTTTAGTGTCAAGTCATGGTTGTTTGGATTTTTGCAGATCAGATCTGGTAATCCTAATAAGAAATAATTCTAGGATTACAGCTAATAGCAATTATCCCTTCTTCTTTTTCTTGATTTAAGCCACTTAATTAATGATATGTCTTTTAAAACAAAAAGTATGTTAGCAACAACAGACACTTCCTACAAATAAAGAAGAGAGACTTATTCAGTAACATTCGAATAATGGCTACAATTCTGAAAAGGTCTGAAATTTTGCTGATCTGGATGAGATATCCCAGTTTAACTGGGATTTCTCAACATTGGCTATAGTACTGCATCTAATCAACTATAAATTACTGGAAAAAATGGGACAGCTTATGTTTACTTATTGGTAATGAAGGAACTGGATACTTACATTCTAAAGCATGATAAAGTAATTCAAAATCATCCTTTGTTTTAGGATACAGTCTTCGATTATACTCCCTTAGCAATTTTATTTCCTTCTCTCTCTGTTTTCTTAGTTCTTCTTCCCTTTCCCATTCCATTCTCAACCTTAATTGTTCTTTTAGTTTGTTTACAAATTGAATAGCTAGCCATCGCCGATAATAGGTTTGTATTACAATTATCTATACATAGGGAGAGGGAACAAAGGGCAATATTTAGTATGTAGAAAGTGTAAGGTTCTATAATATTTCAGTGTTTCTGCTAAGTTCTGTCAATCAATAGTTCATAACACACTAGCAAATTTTAAGTAATCACTAGAAAAGGACTTAACCACCAGCAATATCTGAATGGCCACCATGCAAAATGCTGGCGGCCATCTAATACGCTTCTTTACTTTAGAAAATCTTCAACTCATTCTTTGGAACAAGAATGAGTAAGTAACTATGATTCAAGAAAACCAAAACTGCCCTCCCATTATCTAACACTGGAAAAACACGTGTTTAACTGTACTTAAAATTTTGTTCATTTTTAAGATAAAGGGGCAGAATTTGCATAAAAGTTAGAGCTCTAATAGGGAATGGAGAATGCCAAAGTTCATAGAAATCTGTTTAGGACATTTCAAATTGTTGGGATCTTGGTGGTCAATGAGCTTGGTTTTCTTCTTGCAAAGTTTTGTTGCCAAATTATGTAATATTGTCTGTAATGTCATCCTTAACATACTGTTCCTTAAAGTGTTGTAATTTTCTTGCTTTCAATGAAAGAAAAACAAATTTACAATAAAGTTGGATTATTATGAGGGATAATGCTTTCTAAATAACATAAAAATTAGGGCTTGAGTTTTCAGACTACATTCCTTTACAATCTGCAAGGCTCACTCTGATTTGAGAATGGGTGTAAGAGCTAAAAAAGCATTTTCCCCTCCTTTTCTGGCACAGCTGCTGTGGTATTACCCAATTATCAACTTGGGGCCAAAACCTGAAATTTTGAATCAAAACAGGAAGGAATGGATCCAGTCCCACCTTCAATATGTTAAAATCTATTCCAACTTGCCTTGATTTGGGTGTCATCCTGAGTCAGAATATGATAGTCACTAGATTTGTGAAATGGGAGGGAAGAAAAGCCTGTCATTTATTAAAATAAATTATAAACTCTGTGAAAAAGTATGTTACAATCTGATCTTTAGTACAACCACTACTATGTTCAGTGATGCTTAATTTGTGAAGGACTGCAGGTATAAAGAGGGGGGCATTGAGAATGCTTATATATTGAAATAGCTTGCTTATGTATTCTAATTAAGTTATATTTTGTTCTCAGTCCCCCATTGCAAGGTGAGAGAAAAGCAACATTTGCTAAGTAGTATATTTTCATTGTTATATTTGTGAATGCCTCAGGTGCCAAAGTATGATACCTGCAAGGTAAGAGATCCTGAATGGCAGCATCCTAACTGATGAACACAAAGGAAATGCAAATATTAAATATTTCAGATGGCAAGAAAATGTGAAATCAATTTAAATCTATCATCACTTTTTCTAGAAAAGTTTTTGGACATTTCCTGATTGCTTTCATCTCACAGAGCACTTGAAAATAAATCCTAAAGCACCAGTGATTCATAGACCACAGTCTAAGAATCAGTGAAAGGCTGAGATGCTCTGCTGGCAAAAACAAACAAATAAACAAGCAACACTATGAACTGTTTTAAATGGACTTTCCAAGTTCTTTGACAAATAAAAGAATAAACAAAGTTGACCATAACTTTAGTACTATATATAATATAAATATTTTCAAATGTAGCTTTCTACCTTCTCATTTGTTAGAATATTTAGAAGAAAATATTTCTTCTAAATATTCTAAATATTTAGAAGAAAGTATTAAAAAGAATTTGGAATTTGCTTTGAAATGTAAGATTCAAATTTTACATGTCTGAAACACACTGCAATCTCAAACACGCACACATACACACGAATACTCAGAAGAAGATATGATACACCAAACTGGGGGAGGGTAGGAGGCATGCTGTTTCTTTAACCGACCCAAATAACTTGCTTAACTGATTAGATTTAGCTTCCAACAACTGTGGGCTTATTTGGAGCTAAGCTAACTTGCAATAGTGTTTCAAAAGATGTAAAATGGAGTCCTTGTGGAGTCAGTGATATATAAATGTGATTAATATATTGGGTGTATGTATGTATGTATGTATATATATATATATATATAAATGTGATTAAATATATAAATGTGATTAATATATTGGGTGTATGTATGTATGTATGTATATATATATATATATATAAATGTGATTAATATATTGGGTGTATGTATGTATGTATGTATATATATATATATATATAAATGTGATTAATATATTGGGTGTATGTATATATATATATATATAAATGTGATTTATATATTGGGTGTATGTATGTATGTATGTATATATATATATATATATAAATGT